TTTTCAGGTTACCGTGATACCTGTAAGGGTCTAGCACAGTTCGATATAGTTACTAGGACCAACCCACACACCTCCCTAATTCCACAGTTCTTTCTAGTGAAACGCAAGCACCCAATGCATCAGGATTTTCAATCTTTTTTTACGGTGAAAGAAGAATGATGCCTTTAATATTACTATTTTTACTTTTTGAGTAGTTTCGAGCCGATTTCTACGGAGAAACCTTTCACAGTGGGCAGTCAAAACATCGCGATGCACTTACAGTGTGTCTGTATATATGGTGAAACAAACGAATTGCCTTGACGGAATCTTTTAATAATGACGAAATACCGGCAAGAGTCGTTTTTCCATTTTTTTTGAGGCTATGTGATGTTATTCTGGGAATTGCCCTGACGAAGTCTTTTAATAAAGACGAAATATCGGCAAGAGTCGTTTTTTTCCAGTTGTTTGAAGTTATGTAAGACAAACGATAATATACACTAAATGTTAGGTTCTGAGGGAAACAGCAAGCTGTGTTTTCCCGAGTTACGCGCACAGGACTCGAGGAAAACAAAACTAACTGGTTTCCTGAGCGTTCTGACATAAAGTATTCCGTTATATTTCAAGATTTTCACATCAAAAGTCACAAAAAAAACCAGCGAATCAAAACAATGTCGCACAACTAAGAAAACAAGTTTAGTTGTTGAGACTGCCAAAATAAACAACTCTAAAAACATAAAAAATGTATTCTCTAGACTTTAAATTTTCATACTAAGATAAAGAACAAGACAAATTTACATGAAATTGTAAAAATGTATTCTAACATTTACTTCTAAAAATGCTCCTGCGTTAAAGGTTATCGTTTCTCTGCCGTTCTATTCGAAGCTCTGAAAACAGAAAGTATTTTCCCACCTCCTGTTACGTCATTTGCTTCCATGCTTTGATCACGTAAAACCAGCTAAATAAATGTATCCCTACCGCGTTACATTAGCCGATTTATAACGCTTGGAATACATTTGAATTCAATCAAGGCAACGTGTCCCAAAATTAAGCCATTGGAGTCCCTGTTTTGTTGAGTTAAAGTCTAGGAATTTCTCAATTTCTCTTTCGTTTTAACGTTATTTAAAATCATTTTTCAGATATATCCGCGGCAATGCTGCGCTCTTTGGTTCTCTGCTTCGCCGTTTCCCTCTTGTGCTTGCTGGAAGTCGATGGACGGTTCAGCATGAGTGGTTTTAAAAGGATCCAGAATAACTTCCTAAAACGAGCTGACCCTACTCGAATGTTGAAAACCGGTTCATCGGTGACATCACTGTATGTGGGCGGTACTGGCATCTGGTGGAGATCTGGTGTAATTGCCTCCATTTCCCAAATGGAGCAAGGGGAGAAAGAAAAGGCAATGGAAACACTCAATATCGCCATTGCAACCCTAGCAGTCTTCGACACAACGCAAGCAACAGTGTCCCCCCTTGCATCTGAACTGATTGAGCAGTTAGTGAAACACAAAGGAAAGTTCCCAAACACATTCAGTGGACTCACAAATTATAACAAAGCGGTAACTGAGGGCGTGGTCAGCGGCAGTGCAGATGACGTAGATGACATCATTGATAGCGCCAAGGCTTGGAAAAAAAGAATAGGAGAGTTTTTCGACAGTGAAGTTACAGCATTTATGAAGAACACCCAAGGGTATGATGATCTCGTCAAGAGTCTGAACAATGCGAAAACTTGGGCAAAAGGTTTGACGTGGCTCGACACGATTAGTGGTCCTCTATTTGATGCCGCTAATGTGGCATTTTGTGGCTGGCAGTTGCATAATGCAATCAATGACAAGGATTCTCCACCAGAAGTCAGGTCTTTGAATATTGCAAGTGCTTCGATGGGATTTGCAAGCGGAGCCGTTGGAGTGACTTCATTCGTTGTGGGTGCATTGGCGACAGCTGGGAGTACTCTGGCTGCAGTAGCAGGTCCTGTCGGTGCAATCATAGGATGTCTGCTTTCGCTTGCCTCAATCATTATCGATTTGATTAATTCTGTTAATCCATACGGCACCATCAAAAATCATCTTGAGACAATACAGAAATTGAAAGAAGGCTCCCTACAGTATCTTCAAAATCAAGTTGACATAACTAACCAAGTCACTCCCGTGTTCAATTATAATACTGGCTTTGGCACTATTTACGAGATCAACCAAGGGAATTTGATACAAGGGATGCGTTCAGAGTCAGTTCAACATATATCTGGTGTTGACGACGACCCAAAAATCAAATTTAGCTCGAAAAAAAGCCCGGGTCATGAGAATGACTATCTTACAATGGGAAAGAACCGAATTTTCGACAAGTCAAAATATGGCAATATCATTTTTAGACCAAAAGGTACGGTACAGCTCGGTTATGACTTCTATGGCAAAGTAACTAAACCAGACGGAAAGGGAGTGACGGTCATAGCTAACACAGCTATGGTTGCCGAGCAGTTTTGGATCAGGGGAGTTCATATTGACACTAGGGTAGAAAACGATGAGGAACATAACAACCCTGATAATGTAGTGATTGGAGAAATGACTGGCCTTGCTGAATCAGACCATTCAATCCGAGTTTACACTGGCGCTGGGGACGACTTGCTCCAGGTTACTGGTCTGCTTTGCAATCTCTGGACTTATCACCAGGACTGTTTTTGGGGTACACTTGGAACAGGAGTCAATACATTGTCATTTCAAGGTCTAGACCCAGATAGAGTTGAGTTCCCGACTGGTCATACAAGTGGAGCATCCAAAGTTTTCGTTGGTTTAAAGTACGATTTGAGAGAAACTGGAAGGGTTCCGAGCTGCGAAATTTACTTGAGGATAAAGGAGTCAGACGAATCAGTAAAAGACTACAGAATCGGTTACGTGACGGGCGTGAGCGTATTTCATGGTACCTATCCATTTGCTAGCTAATAAGATCTGGTTATTCGTACCCATGTAACACATTACGTTAATGATTAACGTCGAAGATGAAGTTCATTGCCCTTTCTTTCGAGCCAGAGGGTCAGGTTAAAAACGCTCGGCAAAAGAATATTACTTATCAAAATCGACCCAAACTTAACTGTCTTTTTGGTCAATTAAACCTTTAAAACAGGAAATAAACGCTAGACAATTATGTACTCCTAGAAAATCCCCTAAAACCCTTAAAAAAGAGTTGAATGTTCATCCTTTAAATTCTGCTACACTATCAATACATCCACGAAAGTAAGGAATATACTTGAAACCTTTAGCTGATTTGGCGAAATTATTCCAGTTTTAAGATAATTTTGCATTATCTTATCACGGAAAATGTGTTTTTTCTACAGGGTCTCCACTAGATGACGAAATTGTGATGGGGGAAGATAAAAGTTGCGTGGTCAAAAACGATGGCGGAAACAACAAATACATCATTTATATTTCAAATGAGCACCACTTTACCCACACGATCATCGACGATTCCAATACTCTTGGTGAAATATACCTCGTTGGAAGAACAGGCGTTAGGAATGGGGAAAGTTACTTTCAAATGGACCATGACGATATGGGATACGATGAAGAATCACAAACAATAGTGACCTTCATGAAAGACAGTAATAGGAGGCACACTTTCACGGGGAGGATTATCATTAAACGTACAAAACCAGGCGATGTTAAAGAAATGAAGCTGTATCTGGTTCGGCCCCGCAACATTTTTGGATGCAAGCAGGTTGCAAGTTTGGATAAAGAAGGGGTTGACTGTAGTTGGGAGTATACACTAGGGCATGACTCAATTAACAGAGGGATTGGAAGTAAACATCATTACAACAGTATTGATGGGTGGAATATTGATGATCGTCCCGTCCCAAGCGTTCCATTTCGTTACAACCTCGATACTGATCTAGAAGCCGATCCAATTCCTGGCCTCTGTGGGGATTTCATTATCGCTCTCAAAGGCGATCATCCCTTCAGTAAAAATCTGCAGTATTCTCTGCGACTACCAACGAATTCTTTTATCGCAATTAGTGATCAATTTATGGCTGACCTAAAGGAAGCATTTTATCTCCTTTACTACATGAAGTCGGAGAAGAAGCTGGTTTTCGAACATCGTTATGGTCGGTACACAAAAGCAGCTTACACAATCAAAGTTCATGTTCCAGAGGCAAAACGCATCGTGTATGGGACAGTGGGAAGTTATCGGCTTCTTTTAGATCTAAAGCATGATGACAGACCAGCAGTGAATTTTGCTAGTGAGTGCTTTGGTTTAGATTCAAGGTCAGTTGAAGAATACAAATTTACAGAAAACTACGCTGATGAAAACGACTGGAAACCTAACCAGCTTGTCCTTGGAGTTCCTTCCAAAACTCCTACAGAATCAGCTAAATGTATTGAGTTCAGTAAAGCAAAAACCTACGGTCGTAAAGTACTTGACGAGAGACCCTGGGAGGGAGATGACACAACCGGCGACTACGCAGAAAATGCCTTGATTGTCGGTGACTCCCTTTGGACGCACCTTTCAAGTGAAGACAATGACATGAAGATCGAATTTGAGCCAATTAAAGTATCTAAAAAGAAAAAGGACAGACCAAATAAGAAAGAAAGCCGCACCTCTGAAGAGAGAAAGGAGAGACAGTCTGAAGAGACTGAGAGCGAACCTTTTAAACGGGAAAAATACAAGCCATCTAAACAGAACAGGGATGCTTCCTCTAAAGAGAAAAATGTCAGGCCGTCCAAAAAGAAAGAAGACAGACCGTCAAGAAGGAAAGGAAAGGGCCTTTCTATAAAGAAAAAAGACGAACCAACTGCCCAGTGTGAAAACGGAGAAAACATGTGGCAGATCACAGTAAAGAAGACATCCTCCGGGGAAATAACCCACCAAGTGCGAGTAAAGGGAGCTAGCACCCTGGCTTATCATGAGGGATTGGTGAGAAGCAACCTTTATGATCTTGTGAATGGAGAGAAGGAAAAATTCGATCTTTATGAAGTGTGGAAGCAAAAGATGGCTTCTCTGGAGAGTGATATCGAAGCAGAAGCTAATCGGTGTAGATAAATAAATCAAAATGTACTGACTTAGAAACAAAATAAAAAATGGCAAAGAAAGGAGACAACCGATCAGAAGATAATCGATCAAAAGATTACTCCATTATGACAAGATTGTAAGCGTTAACGTTAGTAGAGGGAACACAAAATGCAGGAGAATCATTTATTATAGCAGCAGAATATGAGTAATTTACGGTGATCAGTTTCAATCAATAAAATATGAACATTAATTTTCGAGTCTTTGATGAAGCCTGTACTAATACTGCTTACTTTCTACGTCAGAAACCATTTTGCTTGAGAAGTAACATCAAACATTCCATAATGTATTTTATCACCGGATCAAACACCCCCAAGTTCGTTAAAAATACTCCACTACGTGTCGTATTTTCAACTCTTTTCTCAGTGTTTAATCTGGTGATGAAAAGCTATCTCATGTTTGATATATTACTTCAAACACAAGTCCTGTCTTCTATCAACCAGCTTTGTTACCTGAGCTAGATAAAGGGCGTCAGTGTGAGACACAGCCGCTGGAAAAATTATTCTAGCGCTCTTTTTTCGATTGACTCGAGTTTAACAGATAGTAAAGTTAGTATAGCTTGCCACACTGGTACAGCATATTCCAAACTGGTCTCACTGTGCTTAAACACACCTTTATAAGATATCTGCCTGGCAAACACCGGCTCTACGCAAAACTCGTAAGGAAAATGATTTCTTAAAACTTTTCTTGCAAACATAGTTAACATGGGTGTTTCACCTTAGGTTACTGTTCAAAAACTCCTAAGATCTTGTAGCTCGTGACACGATCTACCACATTATTATCTATTGTGATTGGTCTAAGCAAACAGTTGGGATTATGAAGAAAATTCACTAGCATTTCCTTGCGTTTGGTTGGATTAAGTTTAATGTTGTGAACCATGAAAAAGTTATAGTTATCAGATTAGAGTTCAGAAGACTTATAGAGTTGCTAGGGATAATCTCCGGGGCTGATGTATAATCAGCAAACTGAGAATCCGCAAGCGCCAATCAGACAACAGATTAATCGTCAGGACCGTGAATAGAAAAACACCCAGTTTGGTCCCTTGGGGGACTCCTCTTTTTAGTATTTTTCAGTGATACAAAGTTCCTCCAATCCTAACAGCTTGCTTTTGGTTGGTCAGAGAAACAGCAATCCAGGTTAGGATCGCAGGGTCAACTTGTACCTCTAGTCTGTCAAGCTTTTTCATTAAAATGACAAGGTCAAAAAGGTCGAAGCCTTTAGAGAAATCAGCTAAGAAAATCCGGGCGCCTGCCTTAGATCGCCTTGCCACTGTCAACTGTTTCATAAAAAACCTGCAGCATGTATAGTAGAGCATCTGTTGCTGAATGCCCCTTGCGGGCACATTGGCGAGGATCTGTTTTGTCATCCAGGTGGGGTGGGAGTTAGACTGAATTCATCTCATAGCACATAGGAGATTGAGGTTCTAATCAGCCAGGTATACACAATGACTCCAACAATACAAAAACACATGATTTGACCCCTTTTCAGCGGGCAGCATTATAATTGTCCCCTGGCTATTCAGCGAAACTGATTTTCATAAAATAATATGCAGTTATTGAAGTATTAAGTTGAAATAGTCGAGAAACGCTAGAACAAAAAGAACAGGTTTGTAGATTCATCTCAAAAAGACAAATTGTGGATTACCTGTCGGTGAGTTCTTACGATTTGCCTTCTCTCAGCGAATCAGCGAACCATGCCACAGAACAAAAGGATTCACATCCTCTCAGGATTATCATTGGTCAAAAGAAGAGGTCCAATATAATGTAGACAAATCATGAGACAGGGTGGCTCAATTGTTAATGTTTAGTCTTGTTCTTTTCATAACATTGATTAACACTGAAGACAAAACAAGATAAAAACGACGTGACCATCTAAAGGCGTTGAAGGTAATCTGTTTGTTTTTTCTCGTTTTTTTTTTTTCTTTTTTTTTTTTCACCTGTGAGACTATAGTATGAAAAATTGAATTGAAGATGCGAAAATGTTGATAATTTCTAAGGATATTTCGATAGCATCGACAGCTAAAAAGCGATTTTGCATTAAAGAAAAAGGGTGTCTTTGACTCTGGTTTATGACATTCCAGGTTTGTGGGGCGAGTTGTCAAGCATAATTATAGCTTTTATAGTTTCTGTTATTGTCCAATATGAGAAATTCTCATCAGAGCCAACAGAAACCTTAGAACGTCTTTCACGTTGATCCCAGGGGTCCCGTTTTGTGCTTTCAGCTCTATATTAGTTTTTGTCTGTAGGACTATATCTTCAGCGGCACTGGCTAAAAAAGTTCAATCAAAATAGTCTACCAGGGCCAAATTAAATATGAAGTAATTTCTATAGGTAATCATACAGGCTGTAATAAATGCATTCGAGTTGAACATAGGAGGGGAGAATAGGGGAAAGATCAGGTGAAATCATAAAATTATGATAATAATAATTATTATTATTATCCTGTGTTCAGGCTTGAAAAATAATATAATAAAAAATCATGCGCTGAGTTATTAGTCTTCCATTTGCAACAAAAACGTTAAGACCAAAAAAGATCGATGACACCGGTAAAGCTTCGAAAAATTTGTTGTCCAACCCCAATCGCCCACCTCCTATCAAAATTAAATCGTCAGCTTACAAAAAAGAAAGGGATCGTCTAAGGGCAGCTAAGTTTCGACAGTTCTTTTGTATTATTATTAGTAGTAGTAGTAGTAGTAGTAGTAGTAGTAGTATTCTATTTTTAACTCGTGGGTACGCGCGAGCGTACCACGAGTTATTGCAGGGACTGAGATATGCAAATGAGTCACTCGCTCACTCGTAGTAGATGCACTTCGTAATTAATCGGGTCCGAACTCGAGAGCGCGAAGATCTATCGTTTCCAAAGAAGCACGCGCTCGCCGAAGTTCGGTAGCATCAAATTCCTCGCTGAAAGCGTGCATCGTGCGCTACAGCACGGTTAGGATAGAGGTCTTACCAAATTTAAGACACGCAGGAATCTTTCAAATTAGTACGATTCAAAAGCCTTTGATCCGTCCAGGCGTTAAACTTGAGGAGAAGATGAGCATTTTCTCTTCGACTCCTTCAACTTCGACGCTGGCTTGATGTCCTACCTTGTAGTAGAGTAGTAGGTTATGTGTATGAATGAATTTATGGCGGTCAGTATAAAACACGGACTGCGGACTACGGACTGCGGACTGGGTATAAAATACGGACTATAAAATACGGACTGGTGAAATGTATGGTAAATAAAGGCACTTCTTTTTCTTCTTCTTCTTAAGGACTCCCCAAGATCACGGGGGGAAATGGATGTGAGTTTGAGCATTACCTTCAACATAAGCTAATGTTTTGCATCCTACTTCGCGGAGGATTTGTGTCGGCTTTGTATCGCTTATGTTATTTCATTGCCATGAAATGCGTTTACATTGTTTTTTACTGTCAGTAGCCTGGTTTCAATTAGCCTTAATTTCATCCGATTGCTTCGAGTCGTTTTTTCAATCGGTTAAGTATGGCTCGATCGGTCGTTTGCCGGCGGAAGTTCCATGGAAAAGGCATTAAATCTGAGACTTTTCTCCAAATCACGTGACCATCCTCAATGGCGTAGTGGCTATGTCAGGTCGTGTCAGCCCGAAGGTACCGGGTTCAAATTCTGCTGAGGACCTTCTTTTTCCTTTCTTCCCTTTTTTTTTTCTTTTTTGTTTTGTCTTGTTTGCCTATTTGTTTTGCTGTTTTTTTTTTTGTTTTTTTGTTTTTAAATATAAACTTAAATAACTGTTACTAAAGTACAATAAACAGCAAGAAAAGTATTGTGTTTCCAGAACAAGGATAGTATATTTATAATCTGAATTTCTATCATTTCCTAAAATTCACTGTGGGAAAACCAGAGGTGATAACTACTTGATTATTTTCTAAACAACGTACCCACGAGTTGACGATAGTCTTTCTTTGATTCTTCTTTCTATTTTCTCTAAAACGTAAGTTAAGCGCCGTATACACTACCCATAGATAATAAAAAAACAACCGCTTAGCAAACAAATACATATAATGTATAATGTATGTCTCCCAAGTATTATTATTAATTTTTTTGTGTTTTGTGGTTAAAAAAGTATCACTTGTGGCACCCCCTTTTAATGTTCTTCGACTTTCCACATCATTAGTTGTTCCTTCACTGTTTTAAATCGTTCAATAGTTGACATTTCAATCACCTTGGTAGTAATTGTTGAGTTTTTCCAAACTGCGTGATGAACTGCCCCTGGAACAAAAGAAATTAGAAAAAGATGAAGATCTCTCTTGAAGACATCCGTATTGGAAAGTATGTAATAGAAGGATAACAAAAAACACTTATAGTGATCCCTCACACACTACGTAAAAACAAATAAAATCAGATAAAGATATCTAATGCGACCATGATCGTGGATTTCTAAGTTAAAAGAATGAAAAAACAAAACGCTTGGATAAAAAGAACAGGTGTGACGATTCATCCAAAAGCGATAAGCTGTAGATTTCCTGATGAGTTCTCAAAATCAACCTGCTTCAAAAGATGGGGTTTCATGGTTCAGCTAGCCAAGCACGGCAAGAAACACATTGAAGGCGAGGACACCGCGTCCATTAGTACCCATTGTAGGTTATAGTTATATGAAAAACAATCATAATTCATAAGTGAAAAGTCTTTATTCAATATGTGCGCATTTACAGTGCCTAGTTAAAGAATTTGATATTTGATGTTTTACTTTTTTGCCGCTTTCTGAGTTATCACGGTGATGAGAGGAGCCGCAGATTGTTTTGTTTTGACTAGAATGATCTGGAAGATCGAAATGGCCCACAACTGGCTTTAATGAATTTCTTTCTAACATGTCTTTGCTGTAGACTCTCACTTCATCAATTTATCGCAGAAGGTGTATATTTTACTCCACCCTTAATATCCCACAGAATCTAAAAAAAAAAAAAAACTAGTTTGTTGTTGGTTCTCTTCCTTGTTAGGAGAGGTTTTTCTCTGGG